CACGGCCACTCTGCCGCGATGCCACTCGCCGGGACGGTCGCCACTCGCCGGGACGGTCCCCACGCACCGTGCCGGTCCCCACGGGCCCGGCCGGTCCCCACGCGCCGTGACACGCTCCCACTCTCCCTCTCTTTCTCTCTCCCGCACCCCCCCTCACACTTTGTCCCCTCCCCGCCGCGTCCCCCCCGTCACGGCCGCGTCCCGGCGCCACCCGCGTGGGGTGTGTGCGGGGGGACACTCGCGTGGGAGCGGCCGGGCCGAGTGTCCGCGTGTCCGGGTGTCCCCGCGTGACGCCCGGCGCGCCGCCCGCCCCCTTTATACCCCGCGGGAGCCGCCGCCGCGGCCGCCGCCGATGACACATCCTGAGTCACGGCTTTTCCATTCAGCAACGGCCCGGGGGGGAGCGAAACCCCCCACGGCGGCCCCCGGACACGCGCGACCCCCCCGGGACCCCCCCGGACACCGAGGGACCCCCGCGCACCGGCTGGGGCGGCGCGGAGCGGCGGGGGGGGCGCGGGGGGCGGCGGTGGCCGGCGCCGGTGCTGCGGCTCGGGGGGCGGAGAGGGGCACCGGGGGCGCACCTGGGCCGGGGGGCCGGGGCGAACCGGGAGGGGGCCGAGCCACAGCGGGGGTACCGGGAGAGGGGCCGGACCCGCAGCGGGGGTACCGGGAGCGGCGCCGGACCCGCAGCGGGGGTACCGGGAGCGGGGGGGCACGGGGATCGATCCCGAACCTGGAGCAGGGCGCACCTGGACCTGTCCCGCACCTGGACCGGGAGTACCGGGAGCGGGACCGCACCTGGACCGGGAGTACCGGGAGCGGAATCGCACCTGGACCGGGAGTACCGGGAGCAAGGTCGCACCTGGACCAGAAGTACCGCGATCGGCCCCGAACCTGGCCCGGGCCGTACGGGGAACACTCGGGTGGTACCGGCAGCGGGACTGCACCTGGACCGGGTCGTCCCGGAACCGGTCCCGAGCGGGGATCGGCCCCGCACTGGGATCAGCGCGCTGCCGACACCGATCCCGCACCGGCACCGGAGCCCGAACCCGCAGCGGCGCCGCGGGGTCCGGCCCCAGCGGGGCTCCCGGAGCCGTCCGGACCGCGCCGCTCCCGCACCTGAACCGGGGCCGCACCTGGACCAGGTTGGACCGGACCGGGCTGACACCGGGG